TATATATATATTACATTACATGAATCTAATTAATTGCAAGATTATTTAAAGCTATTTTTGTGTTAAATGGGAAAGTATCAATTAGACATTACAAATTGTAGCTTTAGAAATAAATATTTTATTTGATTCAACATGTAATTTGTTACACATAAAAATGTACGTACAACGGCCTAACAAAAACTATGAAACATAAAAGAATAGAATTTGAGAAACATCTCAATTTTTTTTATTTTTTGTTCATACAATGAAAGTCGTTGGTAACCAAAACTGGTCATTGGTTTGTTACCAACAGTCTTCAAAATACCTTCTTTTGTGTTGCCCAAAAGAAAGGTTTGAAACAACAAGAGGGTGTGTAAATGATGACAGAATTTTTATTTTTGGTGAACTATCCCTTTAATGTTTTTATTATTATTTTTCTTTTAATTAAAAGATACTCTAAATAAGAAACTTAATCTGCCAGCAGGTGGAGCTAAATGTCTTTATGAGTCATTCATTCATTCAGTTCGTTCAAATGGCTGATTCATTCAGGAATGAAATAAATTGCCTTGCCCAAATACTGTCTCAGGTCTTTAAAATGCCAGTGCCCTTAACGCACACTAAATCCACACTATCTTGAATACCGCTACGGAGCGCTATTCAAAGCTTAGTGTATCCCATCATGCATCATGTTTTGGAAATAAAACGTGAGACTTTTTGCCGAGATCTTGCGAGAGGTCACTAAACCTTTCCAGTGTAAGTTAAATAATATAATAATTAGATTTGACATATAATTTGGTAGAAAAACAAAGTGTTGCACATTTTATTGGTCATATAAGTAGTCAAGTGGTCAAGTGCAAAGATGGCAAGAGTGGGTATTTGAACAAGGGGATAGGCTCTCTTTATGAATGGGCCTTTGAATCATTGGTTCACATGATTCGTTTAAAACTTGGATTCATTCAGAAACTAAACACCGCTGCGTTGCTTGGAGACGCACAACAATTCTGCTATGGCTTTAAAGTTAATATGTTCTCTGCTAAATTGAGCAAAAACACAATATAACACAATATCAATTTATTTACTGGACTGTTGTAAAAAAAAACAAAATCACATTTAAATTTGTCACTCGTGATATTCGGGACAAAATCAGCAATACTGCTCTCCCTGCTCGTGTGATATTGTATGATATAAATATGAGACAAAAACTCATACGGGGCATTCTTTGCACCAATATCTTGAATTTTAGGGCATAACTTTATTTATGGAGTTATTACCCTGCATCATATTTGTCAACAGTCAACTATATGAAATTTAAGATGACTTACAGGTCTGGGGGCAGAGCCAGTGCGTTAACTGCGTTAAAATATTTTAGTCGCATTATTTTTTCATAACTAATTAAGTTAACACGTTAAACTGACAGCTCTAATATATATATATATAATGAATAGACCACTTTTATGATACTTTTAGGTCTTTTTTTTCCCTTCATTTTAGGAGGAGGCCTGGTCACTCTGAACTGTCATTATATTGACAAGACCTGAGTAAAAACTCTTAAAAATATATATTGTTTTGCTTCAGGACAATACATGTTTTGAACAACAAGAGGGAGAGTTAACAGAATTTTCATTTTTGCAAGAACTCAAAACTTTAAAACTATCTCAAGATTCTCCAGAAGGTCCTCTGGGATCAACATGTAGTTTTGATCAATTTGTTGAATGAAGAATGAGGCCACACAAATGAGTGTAAATATGAATTTCTTGAGGATTCCTTGTAATAACCAGAGAAATCCATACTGTAGCTCCGTTCAGTCTTTTCTCACTTCCACTGTACATGTTAACAAGCTCCTGTTTCAGGCTCACAGAAGGATCCCTTGTGTTGCTGTTGGGCCCACTGGCTTTTTAACCTCTGCTCACTGAGAATGTACTTTCAACTGTCAGTCACTTCTGTTTCTTACATAAATACACAGACAAGCACTGGAAAACTCAGGGTCCCCAAAACAAAGACTGCAAATCCCCACATAATAAAGTACATTTGTGTTTTAATGGAAAAACTACCATGCTGGTCTATAGGTGAGGTCACACTTTTGTTGTTAATAATCTGTGCAATTGAAAGTTTAAGGGCAAAAAAATTCCCAATGTTGCTAACCTTATTTTTGTAGTATCAGCTATTTCAGATTTATGTGCCATTAATACAAGCATGATTCAGGCATTAGTATATTGTTGTATTAAGCCATTACAGAGTCGATTTCATATTTTGGGTGGATAAAATGCTATATCATAGGAGTGGATAAACACAAGGAATAGATACAATAAACTTAATAGCAGGGACTGGGGCTTCATTTGTAGTCTTTGCACTCTTGAGAGGAATTGCACAATTCAAGAAGAAACACCTCCTGTTGTTTGCAAGTTTAGGATGTGTACATCTGCATTGTCTTCAAGACCTTTCCATAAAGGTTCAAGATGATCAGATATGGTCACTTCAGATCTTGTAGGAAGATGGTGTTATATTACTTGTTTTTTTCTTTGCCCAGGTGTCCAGGTTTTGTGCTCCTCACACTATGTTCTGCATCTTTGTGGATTGATTGACCTTGGGTACCAGTGGATAAAAGCCAGATTAGCTATAAATTCCAGCTTTGCTTAGCTCATGACATGAGGGCCTGAGTAATTTTATTTTATTTATGTTGGTAAGATTTGACTAGAGACAAATCCCCTTTGACATTAAAGAGTCTGCAGAACCATGCAAACCTCAGTGCCATAATGCTGTGTAGTTGGTTGCCAGTGCATCGCTTAAGCTGTTGTTAAGATGTTTTGGTTGGTTACTAGGTGGTTATCTATTCTACAACTCTCTCCAATATTTTGGTCTCTTGTTATGATTCGGGGTTTATTTGTTGTTGTGCCTTAAGCACCACTGGTTATGAATCGACCATTATGGTGTTTCCATTTATGTATGTTATGTTTTTAGGAAATTTAGGCAGTTCATTAATGAATGTGTCTATGCAAATGCTCAAAAATCACAGAATGTCATGTAACTTGCCAGTTGTCTGAACTGTTGAAATCACTCAAACGAGTGGTGAAACATCTTCAAGAAATGGAAAAATGAGTCAGAATTAATATTTTCAAGATGTACAATAATGAAAGTCCTATAAGTGCATATATAAAACCACAGATCTTTTCACACAATGGAAAGCAAGTGCAGCAAATAAACAAATTACACTTGTCAAGCAGTTTTGGTTGTTAAACTAAATAAATAAAAACATGCCCTAAAATAAATTAAATCAGTTTAAAGGAATATTCCAAGTTGCAAAGTGAGGTTCTAATGACATGAAATTTAATTACCAAGTTATTATTATTATTATTATTATTATTATTTATCTTTTATTTATTTGTTTTTACTAAAATACAGGTCATAATTATTTTATGTACTATTCAAAAACATGTTAGTTTGTTCTGAACCTGGAATATTCCTGTAATCCTTATCTGAAGACCAATATATGAATATGCATGCTTGTTACTTGACCTAAGATGTGTTCAACCACTTATACACTGCAAACATGTGGGTTTGTTCACAGCACAATGAGCACAAGCAACTTACAAAATAAAATGGAGCTTGTATTCTGTAAAAAAAATTTCGAAAAAAAAAGAAGAAAAAAAAGAACAGGATTATTTGTCAAAATTCTTCAATGTCTTAGAAATGCTTATTTGTTGTGATTGATTTCTAGGTTGTACAAAAAAAATCCTCTTTAAAAAAAAAAGTTTCCAGATGTTTCATATGGCGCTTTTCCACTGCGCGGTACGACTCGGCTCAGTACGGCACGGCACGGTTCGGCACGGTTTGCGTTTCCACTGCAATTCAGTGACGCAGGTAGTGACGATTCTCTCCGGCCAATCCGTGATCAGCAGAGTTTACACGTCACGTTTTGGTAACGGTACGGTTCACTTGGAACCCCAACCGAGGTGGTACTAAAAAAAGTACCAGGTACCAGGTACTGTACCCAGTGGAAAACCCCCCAAAAGTGAACCGTACCGAGCCGTACCGTGCCGTACCATGCAGTGGAAAAGCGCCAATAGTGATCCAATAGAAGAACCATTTAACCTTCATATAATCTTTCTGTTACCAGTTCTCAGAAGAACTTTTTTTTTCTTGCACTCATATAAACATAAAGGTACCTTATTGGCATTGATGGTTCCATGAAGAAAGTTTAACATCTATAGAACCTTTCCACTGCACAAATGTTGTTTATAGTGGAAAGGGTTCTTTAGATTTTTAAAATGTTCTTTTAAGAACTGTTCGATGAAAGGTTGTTTGCAGAACCAAAAATGGTTCTTCTATGGCATCATTGTTAAAACCCACTTTTGGAACCTTCATTTTTAAGAGTGTAGTGTGAAGAACATTTAATTAATCAAAATAACCTTTTGTGGATGGAAAGTTTCCATGGATGTTAAAGGTTCCTCATGGAACCATTGATGCCAATATAAAGAACCTTTATTTTTAAAAGTGTACCATTAAGGAACTCAGGAACTAGCCAGCAGGGTCATTCCTAGACAACCAGTTTCTCCTTCGGGCCATTTTACTGGTTGTATTTTCACCGGCAGCAGGAACTCTGAAGTGGCCGACCGTGACGTCTTTAATCGTGGCATTTACAAACATCAACAACCGGTGAATAGAGGATGCTGTGTTCGGAGCTGTTTTTGTTGCATGTCGTGGGTTTCGTGAAAATGGAAATGGAATGTAAACACACAATTTACACGATTGCATGAAAATCTGACTAAATCTCCTATGACAACTTGTAGTGTTATCTTCTAGGCCTATAGAATTCCTATAGAACTGTTTTAGACCCTACTCTGAAGTAGGAGCTAAATTAGTTTCCCCAAACGGAGTTCCTAGAACTAAATACATTCCTAGTTCCTGCGGTGCGAACACACCAAAAAGTGGGAAATTCCGCCAATAGATCTAGTAACTTCAAAAAGGTTACTGCGGTGCGAAAGCACCTATAATTACCCTTTTCTTTTGGTATCTTGGAGTATCATGAAAAACCATATGCATAGTTATCAGTCAGTACCATTGTGTTTGTCAAAGTTCAATGGCATTAATTGCTGATACCATCACTATACTATTGTACTGCCACGGTACTTTTTTGTAAGGAAAGGTTTCAGAATGTTTATGCAGATACAGTATGTATAGTTACCTTGAAAGTTGGACTTATTGGGTTTAGAGGGTTAAATGGATCATCGCCATCTGTAGGTGTGATGTTGAGATTCTTCATTCTCTTCTCCGCTGCTTCCATTCTCCTCCTCTCAATGTCCTCCTTCATCTGTCTCTTGTCCTCCTGTAATTAATACAAATGAAATGAAATCAAGAAATCAAATGACTATGTTTTATGCAAACCCTAATAAATAATGTTCTACTACTGGAAGAAACATAGATAGTTTAAAATTCCCACCAAAATAAAAAGTTCTATCATGACAACTCGCAGAGGGATTGGCATGGTAATGTACATGACAATGTTGATGTGTTTGGTCTTGGCGGAATAGATCTGCTACACTGCTGCTGCCCATACATCTACAGACATGCTTCTGTGAGCATGTAAGAAATACTGCTGATGCACATATAACATATATGACATAACCACCATATATAAATACATATACATGAAATCACCCCGTAGCAGATCTATAAAGGTGGAGCTGGGGGAGGTGGAGGGTTTCTAAAGCACGCTGCAACTGCTACAGCAAGCACTAGCCATGTATTTGAATGTTAAGCAACAAGCTCATTGGCTGCTGATACAAAAAGGACCAATCAGCTGCACCATGTGATAAAGATGTCATTATGTCAGATTGAGTTAGACTTATCGGATTGCGCCATCTAGAGTTTCATGCCAAACTTTGGATTTAGACGAATAGAAATCAGCTCAGCCACCTCTTTTTTGGCTAGTTTCTGCTGTTCCTCTTCCTCTCTCTTCTGCTCCTCCTCTTCACGAGCCTTGTGTCGTTCCTCTCTCTTCTTCTTCAGTTCCTCCAGCTCCAGCTCAGCCTCGGCCTGACCCTGCCGTAGCTGCTCCATTCCTTGGCTCTCCTTCTCCTGGTGGCTACGTCTGATCTTCTCCAGCTTCAGCTCGGTCTCCAGACCAGCGTCCATGTCCTTCTTAGTCTCAAAGACCTGATCTACATCTACAGTCCTGCTGGAGAAGAGTGGAGAACAGAAAAACAGGGTTAGTCTCAGACGGCATGTTGGTCATTTCTATGAAACAATCAGTAATTATTACTATTGGACCAGCAGATTTTCTGATCAGTCATACATTACTTTATTATTTTTCCACACAGTCTATTATGAATCTATCTCAGATAAACTTAAATGGCACATAAAAATAAAACAAATTGTGATTGGTCAGTTTACTTTTAGTCAGACTCTGCGAAGTGGATAGTTCTTGGCCAGAGTAAGCAGTAAAATGGGCCAGAAATTACGGTATTAGTTAAAGGGCTGGCTATACGAGACCTTTAGATAGATATAAACTAACTCCCTTAACAGCCATTTTAGAAACTTCCTGGCACAACTTTTTTGGCAGCAACAATATTAGGTCACGTCTATATATAACACATATCACATAAGCCTCTAATTTTAACAAGACCAACTTCTATGCTTATTTTTCCCCCTAAAGTCAACTTAAAATGTTAGTCCTTTCCTCAAATCATTATTATTAATCAAAAATAATAACTCATCAAAACAATTATTTTGTCAATAATTAATTTTCCCTTTCTTTGACTCTTACAGTTAAACAGGCTGTATTTTAAAAATAGTGACTAATAATATATACTATTATTTTTTTATATTTATGTATTTGCTTTCTCATTAGTGTAATGCACTATAACAACAAAGTGACAGTAAAGGCATTTATAATGTTACAAAAGTTTTCTATTTCAAATAAATGCTGTTCTTTTCAACTTTATATTCTTCAAAGTATCCTGGGGAAAAAATGCATCATGGTTTAAACAAATATATAAAGCAGAAATGTCTCTTGAGGCGCAAATCAGCATATTAGAGTGATTTCTGAAGGATCATGTGACACGGAAGACTGGAGTAATCATGCTAAAAAATCAGCTTTATAATCACAGGAATGAATTGCATTTTTTTTTTTTTTTATTGTAATAAATTTCACAAAATTATTGTTTTACTGTATTTTTTTCAATGGTACACACACACACATTCATATATATATATATATATATATATATATATAGGCTACATACATACATACATACATACATATATATATGTTTTTGATTAAACATACACGCAAAGTGCACAGTGTCACTTACAATAATAGGAATTATGGAAAAATGTGCTTATTTGTCATGAAAAAATTGTGATGATCCTTAAAACAGGCGTCATTTTGATTGATTGATTGATTGATTGAACATGTGACCTAAGCATATCTTCATAATATTTCCCCAAAAACCTACAGATGAGAAAGTGCATGGAGACAAGTTACCTGGGTGATCTTTTGGTTTTGACCAGATGTGATGTAATTTCCTCTGCAGCTGCCTCTCCATTGCCATTAGGCATTCTGTCTTGCTGTAGGAATACTTTCGACATATATGACACCTTCACCTCCTTCCGCTCCTCTTTCATCTGTTGAGTGATGGTATTGATTTAGACATAGTCACTGTCATGTACTGTACATGATATGATGCTCTGTACTTCTAATACTGTACTGTACTAATTCCCGTGGCACCTTGTTCTCCATCTGTGGTGTTATTTCCTGTTGTCTTCTTTTGCTGTCGTCATGCCATTCCTCTGATCTCGGGCTGCTCACCTTCTCATTGATCTCCATTCGTCTCTCAGGGCTCCTCCACCTATCTGGTCTTTTCTCCTCGTCCTCTCTGTCCTGTATTTGCTGATGCTGTATAGAAGTGGTGAAGCTGCTTTTGTCACTTTGTCTAGATCTCTCATTCACGTCTTTCTCCTCCTGTTGTAACTGTCCTCCACTGCTGTTCTCAGCCATTCTGGACCTTGTTCTCCGTCCCAGCTTTTGGGTCCAGTCACTGAAACCTTCATCCTCATCCACAGCAGTCGAACTGCTAGGTTTGAATTCACTTTCATAGCTGAAAAAACAACAACAACACATTATATACTTGTATACATAAGTGCATACAATCTTATATGAGCCATGGCTTAGCAGTTAGTGCATGTGCATTGAGCAATGGTGCTCATATAGGAAATTAAGATTTGAATCTTGCTTTTAAAATGAAACTAAAAAGGAAGTTGTTTATTCTTAATCGCTAAAAACATTTTCTAAAGCTTGCCAGAACTTTACTGTAGCAACATTTTACAAGTTTTACAGATTAGAAATTAAATTTACAGTATAAAATGTATTTCACTAACTGAAATAATGTTAATGTACCACATTACTAAAATTGAGGTAACTTTTTATCTTGAGGTAAATTCTATTCTGAGGCTATATATAGAATGTAAACAGTGTCATACGCACAAAAGACCATCATGATAACACACAACACAAAAATAATGCAATAAACATTCGTTTAACAACATAAGATGTAACATAAAACCTAATGTATGTACACAACTAATAGTAATGACTAAAAAGATGCAGTTATTTCAATAAAAAGCCATCAAATTTGAGCTGTCACAGAGAATTCAAGGAATGTCAATTTATGTTTTTTCACTGTAAATTATAAGATGACTTTTTCTTTTATGCATCCAAACACCGAATATTTTACAGTATTTTACATGAAATATCCCATTTGATCTATTACAGTTTTTTCACCGTATAGAGTAAGGGAACTTACTAACATGTTTTATCATATTTTTTCAAATTAAAATTACAATCATTTAAAAAATGTAATTAAATATATAATTAACTTGAACTCAATTTGCAAAATAGGTCAAATATATTTAATCATGCCCTTACAAAATGAACTGCCTTTATAAAGACGTGAATATAATTTTTATAAATGTGACAGTATAACAATTTCAGAAATATGAAATATATAAACGAATACGAAAACGTCCATATGCACACAAAAAAAAATGCATTCCACTTTATAAATCTTGACATCTTTATTACATAATGTGAACAAGCACATCAACTCCATCTACAGAATGCCCACAATACAGTTAGAAAATCATACTGTATATAATTAATACATTAATTTTAGTGACATAAATATCACAAAGCACTTGCTCATTTGCACATTCATTAATGTCTATTTATCTTTACATTTTTAAAAACAATGTTTCATTATTTTAATTACTGGTACAGGTGCATCTCAATCTTTGGCAATGAATGTTTGTGGCTTACCCTCCTTGTGAAGGGTGTCAATGATTGTCTTCTGGACAACTGTCAGATCAGCAGTCTTCCCCATGATTGTGCAGACCATTTTGAAGGCTCAGGAAACCTTTGCAGGTGTTTTGAGTTGATTAGCTGATTGGCATGTCACCATATTCTAATTTGTTGAGATAGTGAATTGGTGGGTTTTTGTTAAATGTGAGCCAAAATCATCACAATTAAAAGAACCAAAGACTTAAACTACTTCAGTCTGTGTGCATTGAATTTATTTAATACGCGAGTTTCACAATTTGAGTTGAATTACTGAAATAAATGAACTTTTACACGACATTCTAATTTATTGAGATGCACCTGTATATACAAAAAAAAAGTTTGCACACATGCTCTTTAGCTGCTGTATGCATAACATTTACATAGTTTTTGCCTTTATAAATCCCGATTTGTTCCTTACTTTTGACATAGGCTGAAATCTATGGAATTTAGAATCAAATTAGGCCCCAGATTTTTCATATATATATTATATATTATGTATATATGATGCAGACTCCATTACTTTGGAGTGAGACACTGGACATTCTTAGAGGAATGAGAGGCAGACCTATATAATTACATTCATAGGGAATCTGGGCAAGTTAACAGTCAGTCAGGCGTAAACGGCTCCAGTCAGTAAAAGCAGCACATGGACCCACACACCTGTGATGGTGTTACTTTGATGAGAGAAACTATGTGCTGAAGTCACTGTGCCAGCCTATTAACACCAGAGTCTGACTTCAAACATGCTCCTCGCAAAACAGATGTGAACAGAGGTGTGTGTGACGATCTGACAGGTGCTAGTTTGTTGTTGTTTTCTTTCGTTTGCCAGGGGCGACCAGAGGATTTTGATGAAGTGCCATTAAATGTTGTTGCATAATGCTAACTATTTCACATAATATTTATTATTATTATTATTATTTTAAATAGGCAGTATGCTGTGTATACTTCATAGTATCCAGAGTGCACAGATTTCGCAAAGGGCTAAAGTTTGTCGTGTGAATTCACCAGGTTGACTAACAGAAAGCTGATTGGTTTAAAAGTAACACATCTTTATTGTACACATATTTATAGTGGCCACAACTTAAGAATTTGTTTCCTCATTTTTGTACATTTCGGTCACAATTTACTAGTTGTTCCCGCATTGTAATTAAATCGTGGGCACAAATTAGAAATTTGTTCCCATGACTTATTAATTTTTTTCTCTCATTTTAGGAAATCGTGGACATATTGTACAAATTTGTTCCAAAATGAGGGAACAAATTAGTACAACATGGCCACAATTTACTACAACAAGGGAGCAAACTCTTAATTTGAGGACTCGATTTAACTAAAATGAGAAAATTAATTAATAAGTTGTGAGAATGAACAACATATTTTTTATATGTCTTGTGCAAGGCTTCGTACTATAGACAGTAAACCTTTTTTTACCAGTGAAAATTTGCCCAAATTTTGCTAATTCGCAGAAATGTAAAAGAAATGTACAAAAAAGTTCCATTATTATTTAAAAAACGTTTTTTAGTGTATTGGCCAAGGTAAAACAATTATCTTGGTTTCAGTGTTGCCAGGTCTGCATAACAAAACCAGCCCAATTGCTAATCAAAACTAGCCCAATCACTGCAAAAACTAGCCCAATTGCATTCTGGCATGGAATGGGGGATGACTAAAAAAACCAACCCCCAGCAACAGTGTAAAAGCAGCCCAATGCCTGGATTATTAATTCTTAAATATCATTACATTTTCGGGAAGTCGCACCACTTGACATTTTACACCCTGAACAAACCTTGACTTGTCATGAAAGATCAAATTGTCTGATATTTTAAGAAACATACTGACCTTTGCATACAGTCGTAAAATGGGGGACCCTCTTTATGACATTATTTCCTTTTTTCTGCATTTTGGTAGGTTCCACTTCACTGATTGGTCGTATTTGATTTGGCTGACGAAAATTGTAAATATTAAAATTAGGGCTGTCAATCGATTAAAATATTTAATTGCGATTAATCGCATGATTGTCAGACTTTGAGCATGCAAAATACGTTCAGCGGTGCTGCGAAAAGGGGCGGGAGCAGGATATGACATCACACGCCAAAATATCCTCACTAGTCATAATTCTTTTCCATTTAAGTGATTACAATCAGTCAAAAGTATAGTTAATCAAGTACACACACGAGAGTTCACCAAACTTTAACTATGCTACGCAGGGAAATGCGAAATATCTTCACACGGGCTTGCGTTTCCGGTCTGACGCATTCGCATGCGTATGAATGGAAGTCAATGGAATGAAAAGTCTAGTGTGACCGCGGCTTTACGCGTTAATTTTGACTACTAACTATTGTTACAAGGGTAAATTTGTGTAAGGGATTACTCAAAGAGTTCACAAAAGGTTTAACCACACACACCTTGCACTCAAGCTCATAATAGTGATAACAGAGGCCGTTTTTTGCAAAGTCTTGAATTAAAATCTATTTCATCTGCCCAGGAGCTGCCGGAAAGGAATGCAAAGCACATTCCACAAGATTATTAAGCAGATTTTCAGCAAAGCATAACGACTGAACATCAACAATCAGTCAATACAATTCAATTGCACAGTTATAAATCTCAATGCTTATTTACTACACCCAAGCTTATTGTATGAACCCAGCTTGAAAACCTCTAAACGGGCATCACTAAAAACCTCTTTCCGTGTTGAACCGATCTAAAAAGTCTTGAAAATGATTCATGTGTCTCTAAGCCAAGAGCGAGCCTTTAAATCTTCTCCGATCAAGGATAATTACAAAGTGGCCCTAGATGACCTGTTTCTGCTTTAAACAGGTTGACTCAGAGAGCTGTGTTTAACTTCACACATATAAAATATGTGGGATGTGAGGTCCATAATGTTTCTCTGATTAAAAGCTAGGCGCTGTGGTATGGGATATGACATAATCCCTGCTCCAAAGGCATGCTTGCTGAAAATTCTTCAGAGATTATGTAATGATGAGAGAAAAGCTGTGCCACTGTATATATGCACGTGTAGGTTTAGTTGAGAAAAAAGGAGAGAGAAACAAAGGAAACTAAACTGACCTTTTACTAAACCCAACCTTAAAACCATAATCCTGACAATAAAAAACATGTGATAAGTTTAATCACATAATATGAATAATTTTTTTCGTCCACATCTGTGTTCAAAAACACATTGAAAATGCAATTCATACATACAATTGCTTGTGTATTTATATATTTTAGCATGTTTTTAATTTCTGATTTAATTTTTAATGTTAAAAAGTCAAAATTGTCAAATTGATGAAGAAAACAGTTTAATACTTTAACAGAAAACACTTTAATGAAGAAAACTATTCTTGAAAACAAACCTTAAGTAGTTTGGGACAACACTTAAAGGGGTCCTATTATGCTTTTTCACTTTTTTAAATTTTAGTCAGTGTGTAGTGTGTATGTTTGGGCATTAAAAAAATCTAGAAAGTTACAAATCTCAAAGTCCACTCCAAAGGGAGATATTTCGTTTTTAAAAAATCCCTTTTCAAGAACTACAACGAACGGCTCGTTTACAGGAACTATTCGAGCCGTTCATGCCAGACTGGGGAGAGAGGTGTTGTAATAATGTAAAATATGTGAAAAATACAACCTAGTATGAGAGCATGTTCTAGTACACCCCCAAAACAAAATCAAGACTTTGTAAAAGAGCATAATAGGACCCCTTTAATAATTTTTTTCTAAAAATAATAATAATAACGCAGTGAAATATATTAGTATTTGAAAAACTTTTGT